TCATGTCAAGATTTGGTTTGTCTGGACATACGTAATTGTTTGCTAAAGCCTCCTCCCACCTTCAAAGGCTTCAGGAGTTTGAAGAGTCTTTCTATTGGTATCGTTACCATGGCTCAAGACATGTTTGATAATCTGATTGTTTCATGTCCTCTTCTTGAGAGATTGATTATGAGCATATGTGATGGTTTTACCCACCTCAATGTTGACGCACCAAATCTCCAATACTTTGCGTTTGGAGGCTCTTTTGAGACTGTTAATCTTGAGAATACACTAAATCTTGTTGAAGTTGACATTAATTTTTGCAATGAGGACCTTAGATGGATTCTCACAGCTCTAGCCATTTGGTCAAGTTTCTTGATCGACTGCCCTGTATTCAGAGGCTCACAATTCAGAGTAGCTTTTTAGAGGTAATGGATTATTCTTTTACACATGGAAATGGGTATTTGAACATATTCATTGATTCTGCTGCCTTCTGCATCCAATGTGCCGCAGTATTTGTCTGTTGGTGCCTTGCCCCAAAAGCTGCCCCAACCTTGTCTATATCTGAGGTTTCTTTCTATAACCATTGACTTCTGCTATCTGAATGAAGTTTTAACTGCTCATTGCCTTCTAAGAAGCTCCCCTGCTCTACAAGTACTCGAAGTTCAAGTGAGTTTTGTTCTCTTGATCCATGCTATATAAGTATATTCTTTTGCTGTATTAAAAATTGCAAACCAACTTTACCGCATAAGTTTCTGTTTATATGTTTTTTTTTTTTCCACATTTTTAAGATTCTGATTCTACAGATGGTTTGTAGGCCTGTGGTTATGGCATGGCAGCTGAGCAAGAAGTGAAGTCTTGGTTTGATGACAATCAGAACTTCCAATTTAGCCAACTGATTCCACAACTGAACTAGATTTCATCAGATCTCTGCTCTTAACTTCACCAGTGCTCGAGAGGATGACTGTGAAGCCATCTTCTGTCAATAGTTGTTTCAAAACTCGTGAAAGAGTTGCTCCAGTTCAGGCGTGCCTCCGCTTACGCAGAGATAATATACTTGGGACCATGATTCATCAATGAATTTCAGTAGCTGACAGAACTTGCTCGCAGAAATGGAAGTGGTTTGTTCCTGGTCCTTAATCTTTAATGAGTATGTTTGTCTGTTTTTGTCGAATTGAACCAGAGTTTGAAGATGGCTGCAAGAATCTAGTCAAATAAGGAATGGTATGGCACAAGGACAAATGTTTTGGGATGATTGTCACACTTAGATGTTGTTTTATTAACCCATGTGTTATAATATTAGTGAACTACATAATTTATATTTTACGAGTATGCACACATGTGGGTCTCACATATCCAATTCTAAACATATTTATGACCAACCTAAACGACACAATATGCAAGTTTATGTGTCAAATCTAAATTAAGGTACAAATTCGGGGCCAATTGTGCGTTTCATTGTGGGTCACATGTTCGATCACATAATAAAATTGACAGAAAATTCCTTAGAAAGACTAATGGTCCATGTTTTGTTTAATTCAAAGATCTCAATTAACGGACTTCTAGTTCATGAAACAAATCCAAACTAAGGTCACCGTTCAGAAACAAATGTTAAATTTTACTCTAAGCTTTTATCCCTTCTCCGACGTTCGACCTATTGTAAATGATTTTTAACTTAAAGTGGTTTAACTCAAAAACGTTTATCTGTGCATCCAAATTGATCTCTAAATTTATCATAACTACTCACTTTGATTTTAAATATTGAAAATTAATAGAAGTGGTCCCTGAGTTTAAACACCGTCAATTATGTTAGTACTTTGTGAAATTTTTTTTGTTAAAAGGAAAAGAAGTGGAGAGGTTGATTGAACAAAAATATCATCAATTTAAAGAATTTTTTTTCACAGAATGATCAAAATGATTGACGGTACACGACTTCTATCAATTTTTAATCTCAAGAACTAAAATAAAGAGATATGTTAATCTCATGAACATTCTTACTAAAGTAATGATCTTTTGGTGTTTGGAAGACACGGGAATGATTGACCCCAAAAAAAAAAGACCGGGAATGAAATCAAGTTTTTATCAACCAAATAATCAGACCAAACCCAAAAGTCTGCTCTTTTCTTCTTCACATCAAAATGTCTGAAATTCTCAGTTTTCGTTACTACAATCAGTTGATGTGAGCTAAGATTTTGATGCATTCATCGCACACTTGCAAAAGAAAACTCATTTGGTGAACAAATTTGACGCGAATATGGTAAGTCTTCATTTTCACTTGCATTCAATTCATACAATAGTCACACTACAGAGACTATTTATGCAGACAGTAAGGCTAAATAATTCTTATTTCCATGTTAAATATGTTGTATTGACTAATTTGTTTATGAGTCATAATTTATGTACTCTGTAGGGCAGGATGACAAATTTGGTGTGCTAATAACATTTTTCATTTTCATTGCCAAATAAATTTTGTATGGGTTATACAGGTTTGCGAATCTAAATGTTACTTTTTCCGGTGTAGCAAATCTAAATGTATTTTGATGTATTTAGTGAATCTTGATTTTCATGAAGCAAGGAAATCCATCTGAGTCCTCTTCGAAAAGAAAGACGGAGTTGGATAGATTTAGCAACTTGTTAAGTGATGTTATAGACCAAAGTTTGTCACGTTGGCCCATGAAGGAGGCATGGAAGACGAGTGTTTTATCAAGCAAGTGGAGGTACAAAACGGCAACACTTCCACATCTTGTGTTTGATAATCAGTGTTTTCCGACTAAACCCATTGCAACCTTTGAGCACTTGTTGATCAAGTACTGGAGCTTCACATTGGCCCCATACATACATTCAAGCTTGTCCATCAAGGTCCTTAGCCACTGGTCCAGTTGTTCGATGGAGTCTTCATCAATCTAGAAGTGCTATCAAGGAGTTTGTTCTTGAAGTTTGGAGATGGAACCCCGACGAGATGCCATCATCTTTGTTTTCTTGTCAAGATTTGGTGATTTCGAGGATATATAATTGTTTTGCTCAAACCTCCTTCCACATTCAAAGGATTCAGGAGTTTGAAGAGCCTTTATCTTCATGAAGTGACCATTGCCGAAGATGCATTGGAAAATCTGATACTTGATGTCCTCTGCTTGAGAGATTAACTTTGAGATCATGTAGCGGACTTACTCACCTCAAGATTAATGCACCAAACCTCCAATTTTTTTACTTTGTAGGCTATTTTGGAGATTTAAATCTGGAGAATATGTTAAAACTTGTTCAAGTTTGCATTGATTTGGACAGTGATTCCATTAGATTGGTTCCTTTCAGTTTTAGTCCTTTGGTAAAGTTTGTTGTTCACCTGCCACTTATTCGACGGATCACAACTCAGAATGACTTTAGAGGTACATCGATTGTGTCGTTTCATATTTTAAATTCATGATCATTTACGTGCCCATGGAAATGTGAGTGTATTTATTGAGTCTGCTGCTTTTTGCTCCAGTATTTGGCTCTAGGCCTCTCCAGCGAAGCAGCCAGAATCCTGTCTATAACTGAATTTTTTTTTTTCTTTCTATAAGCGTTTACTTCTCCCTTTCGGCGCAAGTTTTAAGTGCTCAATGCCTTCTGAGAAGCTCCCCCGCTCTACAAGAACTTGAAATTATGGTGAGTTTTATTATATTGACGCATACAATATTTCTTGTGCTGTATTTAAAATTTGAAACCAACATTACTTCGCAGGTTTGTGTTGACGAGACTGATGTGCAAGAAGGGATTTCTTGGTTAGATGACTACCAGAACTACCAATTTAGCCAGCTGCGACTTGTGAAACCAACATTTCTGGTTTCAAGACTGAACTTTATTTCATCAGATTTCTGCTTTTAAGTTCAAATGTGCTCGAGAAGACGACTCGAGCCTGTTTCTAGCAAGGGTTCTTCAAAACTTTTAAAAGAGTTGCTTAAGCTCAGGCGTGCCTCAGTCTCTACGCCGAGATAATCTACTTGGGACCATGATTCATCGATGAATTTCAGCAGCCCACAGAATTTACTCAGAGAGATGGTAATTATATATATGTGTTGAGATAAGTTGTGAACATTTTCATCAAGCTTTCATACTCTTTTTTTTTTTTTTGGTAATCAGCTTTCATACCCTTTTCTTAGGCCTCTGACATATGCTTAACTGATTCGGTTCTTGTTTTATAGAAGGGTTTATGGATCGATCGAGGTTGCCGAATTTCTTTCAAGACCAAGATCACAGGATACTGGAAGAGATAGTGTGTGGATTCTGAGTTGAAGTAGTAAAATAATGGAGGATTTCTGTTTGGGAAGTAAAGCGTTGGGTGCTAGAAACCATTGCACATTTCCTCACACTAGAAAGCTAGTAGCTACCCCATTTTTCTTGAGTTAATCAGTAATAAGGTCCATAAACTTTATTGCTCTTATCTGAACGTGATTAGAGTGAGGTGATAATGCTACAGTCTACATGTAAGCAAAATTTATTTATTTAAAAATAATATCACATTGCACATGACTACTTGATCTAGCATCACATCGTTTATGTTTAGGTGTGCTTTTATTGTCTATTTAGAATCATTCCAACGAGGGGTGGGTTCGGTTTCAATCGGTTCCGTTTTTTGCTAAAATCGAAATTTTGGTAAGGTTACTTTTGGTTCAGTTTTCGGTTTGGTTCGATTTATTTTTTCATAAAAATTTAAAATAAGTGTTTTTAGATTTGGAAATTCACAAGAAGGAAGATGACGGGTGGAAAAAAATACAGAAAATTCCAAATCAAACCGAAAAAAATCCTGAAACCGAATTAAAAAAATCTCAAACCGAAAATCTCGAAAATCTCGGTACCTAATCCCGAACCGATCCCGAAATTTCGGTACGGGAATCGCTCTTACATTTTCATTCGTTCAGTAATCCCAAACTGAAATGAAATAAATAAATATATATATATATATATATATATTATTTAATTTTAAATATATATTTAAAATTGTAACAGCAGTCAGATTTGATTGAGATTTAATGTCAACCGTTGAATAAAAAAATACCATAACTGGGTCACTCTCTCTCGACCTCACCTCACCGCCCACACTGCTCTCTCCCTGCTCTCTCCCTCACTGTGGAGCGGCTGGAGCCTTTCTTCACCACACAGAGCCACGGCCACCGCTCTCTCTCGCGCTTCTCTCTCTCTCGACTTCTCATCCCTTCCCTAGTCCCAGTTTTTTGCCCTACCGCCATTTCTGTTACCCCTCTCTCTCTTTCCTCTCTCTCTCTTTTCTCGCCGCCATCTTCACTTGGCTCTCTCCAAGGTATGTGAAGCTTTCATGTGATTTCAATTTTGTTTTTACTTCAACTTCCTGTTTGGTTGCCGAGAAAATGCTAGGAAAATTTAGTTTTTGTTATCCTATATTTTAGTTGTCGAGTTCGACGAGCATCTTTGTGATACTTACTGTGTAATGTAAATTTTGTTTCTTTATTATCCTAGGTTTTGAAATTTGAGCCTTTTTTTCTTTCTGGTTGAAATTTTAGTTTTGTTTAATTTCATTGTTGGGGTTTTAGGGGAATTAGGGAATCGATTATTTCACCTACTTGTATTTTAATTTTAATTTCTCTGAATTTTGAGAAACTTCTAGAGAAGTTGTTTGTCTCGGCAACCAAGCAGAGAGTTAGGGTTACGTGTTGTTGGAATGCTAGAATTTTGATCCAATTAAACCTAGAAATGGAGAAATTTCAACTGATCCAATTATCTGCGATCAGCGCATCCCGAAAATTTTCAATTTGGGATTCGGAATACTAGTTTTCGTTTGGTATACCATACCAAACCAACCCTAGATGCAGGTGTTCATTGAGATGGTGAGTGTGATATGATCCGAAACATGCATATATAATCCATTCTGAACTCTCGATCCCTCTTCCTTTCTGTCTCTGCCGTCAGATTGGATTGGGTTTGTGCTAACTCCACAATCACCAAGCTGGTTCTGGGATTTTTATTTCGCTTGAAGTTTTCAACGTATTTGGGACTAAAACTATATTAATAATTGACTTGAAATTGGACTTAAAATATAAATATCTAACATAAAAAAAAGTTCGGTTTGGTTCTGTTTTTGAACCATTAAAATCGAAACCAGACCAAAACATTTCGGTTTGGTTCGGTTTTGTTTAATTTGGTTAGATTTTTTTCGATTTCGGGTCAGTTTTTTTTCGGTTTTCGATTTTTTTAACCCACCCCTAATTCTAGCTCAATCCTTCTACATTTCTTTTATTGAAAATTCGGAGAAAATTTTAACGAAGTGTAGTTATCCACTATTTTAGTTAGTAACTCAAGTGATTAAAACTTAAAAGCATTCATATGTGCACTTGAATGGGTGTTAAAAGCGCGTGTCCTTACATTCTAATCTACTAGCCTTGATGCATGCATAAGCGCGTGCAAATGACATTTTTTGAATCACGGAGTGATACGCGCAACTTATACATTTTAAATGTATTTATATACGTGAATTGCTTTAATAATTTTTTTATGACAAAAAGTAAGTCAAATATTTAGACCAAATGAATAATATTAGATCATGCTAGAAGAAACTTTTCATAAACCTATCAAAACAGATGAATTCACAAAATAAAATCGATCTTTCAATTTCCATCTTCCTTATATTGAATTTAAATTAAAAATAAAGAAAACAATATTTAATAAACAATTGATTGAATCACATTATTGTTAGTCTATTGTAAGGTTAAACTCACCCCCTCCCCTTTAGTGTATATAACACCGTTTGTTCAAAAAAAAAAAAAATTAACGATCATTTGACAACTAATTGAATCACATTCTTATGCGAGTGCGAAAAAATCTTTTTTATAACTGACACTACATGCCTCTTAATTGTTTGAAATAGAGAAAATAATATTTAATGAACAACTGATTGAATCATATTATTGCGCGTGCGAAAGTCTTTTTATTACTGGTGGTACGCGTTTCTTAAGATGTTTTGAACGTGTTTAAAAATACAGAAAATAATATTTAATAAACAATTGATTGAATCACATTATTGCTAGCTCATTGTGAGGCTAAGTGTGACAGTCCGTCCTGAAATATTTATTTTCGACGGCATGAAATTGCTTATATACCCTTGGACGTTTTGTGTGGTGGTGTGGTAGGTTAGATTTTGGACCAATTAGTACCAAGTCCTATTATTTTGGAACCAATTAGGACTTAGTTTTGTTTGGTTTGTGACCAACTAGGACCACACACACACAAACACCCATACCCTTTCTCTCTCTCCCGTTGACTCTCCCTCTCTCTTGGGTTTTTGCCATCGTCTGTACCATTGTACGGACCATCTTCGAACCAACCTGTGTCTTCACAGATCGATGTTAAAAATGTAATATTCTTGTTCCCTACAAGCTCCTGAGTCGATTCGTACTATTTTTAGGACTTGAAAACTTCGAAAACCCGAGAAACCAATATCCCAGTTTTGAGGTACTATTCATGTGGTCATAATTATGGATGTTTCAAGAGATTTTAAGCTTGGAGGAAGCTTTAGAACGTCTGTAGGAAGCTTGGAGAAGAAACACCAAGTAGTTTGGATGGCGGGAAGTCGAGTTTGACGAGTTGTAAGTTTTGGCCAAATTATCGAGTTCTCTCCGTCGAGATTCTATGGATTTCAAGCCTTGAAATTGGTAAGGTTTAGTTCCTCTATTTACAAGCTTCATTTTGGGACAAATTTGAGATAACTTGGTTAAGAAATGATTGAGATATCAAGGTTTTTCGAATTTCCAGTTTTCCGGCGACGACAACGGTCATCGGAGTCGAAGGAAGAAGACAAGCGAATATTCCGTCAAAGTTGACGGAATATTCTAATAGCGTCAGGTTAGTTTTAACGGTATATGCTATTAATTAACGGAATATTCCCTAACGCCGTTAAGGTTATTGTCAGTGTGCCTGGCACGTGCCCGCGCGTGGGCGGCGCGAAGATGGTCGGAAAATTTTTCTAAAAATATGGGGATGTTCGTGAGGTTATGTAGATCACGTTGGTATATTCAAGCATCTCATTTGAGCAATGTATGAGAAGTTATTAACTAGTTTTGTCTATATGCTTTAAATAACGTATATTCAGTTATTTTGCATATATAGGTGAGAACTATCCAGAGGATGAGCGTAGTCAAGGGCGACTCGGGGGCTATGACCCTTCGACATACCAGTGAGTGGGCTTTGGGTTTTTAGTATATATTTATACACTTGATATTTTCCCAGAAAATGTGTTTAAATGAAAGTATGCTTTGAAATGTCATGCATATAAATTTATATTCAGCATATGAATTAGTATATGATGCATAATATGAATTGATGTTGTGGACGCTCAGGTAAGTACCAGGTGAGTTATATTTTATTATATGAGATATTGATGATGTGAGAAGTGATTGAGAGCTCATAAACCTGCACCCCGGGTGATTGTGATTTAGCCAGAGATATGGTATATGCCTGTATATAATGTCACATCCCGCACCATATGCTCACATTGGATCCAATTTAGGTGCACAGTCTTGTCGTACAGATCATCATAGGTGGTTCTAACTCGTAGGTGACTAGCGATTTATCGCACAACTAATATGAGAGCATAGCATTCAGCATAATTATATTACACCCAGTCTTGTCGTACAGACCATCATAGGTGGTTCTGACTCATGTGCAGTGTAGTGCCGTATAGGTTACTTGTGGTGACTCCGGCTAGATTGACTAATGAGCTATGAATTCAGCCGTACAGACCTCTACAGGGGTTTCGGCTAATATGTTATTTTCCATGGATTTATTTTCACCTGAGTTACTTATTCTGTTTTATATTTTGGCATGGCATACTTATGAATAGATATGTGAAGCATGATCTGAATATATATATATATATATATATATATATATATATATAATTATATTCTATTTCTGTGAAAATTATACATGTTTTACAGCGAGGGGTTAGAGTATTTGATAAATGAAATGGTTTTGAAAAGCTTTGTTTTTACCCACTCACGTTTTCTGTTTTGCGCCCTTCCAGGTTTTAGGTAAGCTTGTCCGTTGGTGTCCCACAAGGATTGAACGGAGGTTCTGACAAACTATCACTATGTAGGACATCTTTGGGTGTCGTTTAATTAGTACTTGCTTTCTGGACTGAACTTAGGCTACTCTCGCTCTGATTGTGTATTCACACATATTCTAGCACTTGTCTCAACTAGTACTCTTATGAGTTGGTTTTCATTCTTTATTTATCATTATTGCTTCTGCACTGTGCACATGGCTACATTACCCTCACGTGACGACCAGCATATCCTGATTCAGGTCGGGGTGTGTCACTAAGCCCACCTCATCCCTCATAGCATAGATAATAACATTTGAATCGCATTGTTATGTGCATGTGAAAGACTTTTTTTTTTATAATCGGCACTACGTTTCTCTTAAGATGTTTTGAACGTATTTAAAAATAGAGAAAATAATATTTCATAAACAATTGATTGAATCACATTATTGGTAGCCCACTGTTAGGTTAAACCCACCCCATCCCCCTTAGTGTAGAAAATAACGTTTGTTAAAAAAAAAAATCATTTGACAACTAATTGAATCACATTATTATGCACGTGCGAAAGATCTTTTTTTACAAACGGCATTACGCACATCTTGAAATGTTTTGAATGTGTTTTAAAAAAATAATATTTAACAAGCAACTGATTGAATCATATTATTGCTAACTCATTATGATGTACTAATTATTAAAAATAAAAAATTGTACAAAAAATATTAATTATTAAAAAAAACACTGTTTATATGACAAAAATATCCTGCATTATTTTTTTTCTTCTCAAATATCCTGCATTATTTGGTGCATTATTTTGGACTGCTTTTAATTTTTTTGTCTTGGGCATTTTTGTTCAAAAGTTTTTGTAAAAACCGTGATCCTAAAAGGAACTAGTGGCTTTATATATACAGATATGAATCAAACTCACCAACGAGTCCTTTGAGCAACATCATCCTCCAAGATAATTGATATAGAAATCTCTATGTTTTCATTTTTATTCAAGTCAAAGCTAAGCCTATAAATCTAAACATATTTAGTAGAGTTAATGGAGCTGCGACATTCGAAGTGTTGAATATGAATCTCCTTCCTCCAATATCACTTGTATCGAAAAAAAATATATATTAAAGCAAATAAAATAAGTAGTGATTTTTACACATCTCAGTTTACTTCTCACTCGTCCTTGTAATTGTTCAGTAGTTTTTTAGGTGGGGTGTTAAAATAGGAGAATGAGTTACATGGCACAGGTACACTACGAAAATTGTGTCTGTACCAATGAAATAAAGAAATATGTAAGTATTTGTTCACATATCTTTATTTCATTGACACAGAATTTCAAGTAAAGATATATCCGTGTCATAAAAATTATTCTTATATAATGAGTAATGAGAAAATCACTACCATATATATCTTACAAAAACTATTAAATAATTAAAAATGTGTGCGTGAACACAAGCAGGATGAGGCTGGAATAAGGTCAAGCATCTTATATCCGTTCTCCCCTATTGTGAGTGACAACGTGTCAAATTCTCACCAATCACCAATCAGCCCCAAATGGATGTTCCTGGAATAGCATCCTCTTCGGATCCTCTTTGTAGGGATCCAGATGATCAATTAATCGTGTCCATTCATCATATATCGTACGATTATAAATTATTTTAAATTTTAAATTAAATGTAAATAGTACCGAACGAAAACTTGAAACATTATATATCGTACGATTATAAATTATTTTAAATTTTAAATTAAATGTAAATAATACCTAACGAAAACTTGAAATTTAAAATAATTTCTAACGTACGATGTACGATGAACGAGCACGATTAATTAATCTTCGAATCCTCACAAAGAGGATCCAGAGAGGATCCTTGTCCGATATTCCTAAACCCTAAACTCCGAAACTTCCCCATATTTCAAACCCTAATTGGCTCACTCTTAGAGATTTTTAATATACTCAAAATACGATGTGGTACATTACGTGTCACTGTATAAGTAGTTCACCACGTGTTACATATTAAAAAATGAATTACTTGAAAAAATAAAACTTTCCTCAACTTCTATACCGGTGTTCCGGCTAGTGAAAATTTCTAGCTCCTCTAACCCTAACTTCGCTGATCAATCAATTTTAGTTACAATTAGTTGGTGTTAACTACGGGTTTTCACTTATTTGCAGCGATCTTGTCAAAGATGACTCATTCGCGAACAAAATTGAAGAAATTCGGTATGTCAATTTTTTTCTTTTGAATTTCAAACGATGCAATGCATCCCCTAAATTTCCAATTGATTAATTATCTGTGATATTCCCTTTGCATCCGGATTTGGGTTTTATCTCGTAGTGGATTTCGGGTATAAATTCCCAATAATTTATTTTCATATTTGAAAAATTGTAGAACATTTGAACTTGTAATTAATCTCAAGGGGTGCTCACAGTTGGCTTGAGTTGAGCCGCTACGGTTGCTTCTTCCAACTGGATTGGAAGTTCGGAACTCTGTTAATCGAGTCGGATTGAAGTGTTAGAGGGTTACTGTATGCCTAGAAGAGAATTCTTTTTAAGGCTCATGCCCGAAAAAGTTCCGCCCTTGAGTTAAAAAGTAGGATCAATCTGCGTGAACATCTCCTCCCGCGGATTGTAATCTTGGAATTTAAAGCCTACTATGGCTCTCTCATCGTGTTAGATTACTGACTTCTTTTTTTATACTTAATTTTCATGATGCAAGGAAAGCTATCTGAGTCCTCTTTGAAAAGAAATATGGAGTTGGATAGAATTAGCAACTTACCAAGTGACGTTTCAGAACAAATTTTGTCATTTTTGCCTATTAAGGAGGCGGTGAAGACAAGTGTTTTATCCAGCAGGTGGAGGTACAAAACGGCTACACTTCCACATCTTGTGTTTGATAATCAGTGTTTTCCGACCAAACCCTTTACAACCTTCGAGCACATTGTTGATCAATTACTTGTACTTCATGTTGGCCCCATACACACATTCAGGCTTGTCCATGAAGTTCCTACAGCAACTGGTCATATTGTTCGATGGATTCTTCATCTATCAAGAAATGCTATCAAGGAGTTCATACTTGATGTTTGGAGAAAGAATCCCTACAAGATGCCTTCATGTTTTTATTCTTGTCAAGATTTGGTTAGGTTGACGTTATATAATTGTTTACTTAAACCGCCTTCCACATTCAAAGGCTTCAGGAGTTTGAAGAACCTTTATATTCGTGAAGTTACAATTGCCCAAGATGTATTGCAAGCTCTGATTGATTGCTCTTCTCTTCTTGAGAGATTAGCTTTGAGAACATGTAGCGGAATTAGCCACCATAAGATTAATGCACCAAACGTCCAATTCTTTGACTTTGCAGGCTCGTTTGAAAATTTAAATCTTGAGAATATGTTAAATCTTGTTGAAATTTTCATTGATTTGGACTGTGTGATTCCGTTAGATTGGTTCCTAATAGTTCTAGCCATTTGGTCAAGTTTTTTGTTCACCTGCCACTTGTTCGAAGGATCACAATTCAGAGTGACTTTTTACAGGTAATGAATTGTGTGGTTTCATACTTTAGTTTCAGGATGATTTACACGGCCATGGGAATTTGAGCATATTCATTGATTCTTCTGCTTTCTGCTCCCGTATTTGGCTGAAGGCGCCTCGCCAGAAAAGCTTTCCAAACCATGTCTATGTCTGAATTTTATTTCCATAACCATTGGCTTCTGTTATGTGGACGAAGTCTTAACTGCTCTATGCCTTCTAGGAAGCGCCCCTGCTCTTCAAGAACTAAAAATTCAGGTGAGTTTTATTCTATGGATGCATAAAGTATTCTTGTGCACCACATAAGTTTGCAGTTTGGAAATCTGCTTTTGTCATAATCTCAAGATTTGATGTTATATACCTTGCGCAGGCCAGTGTTTATGGCGAGGACTCTGAGCAAGAAGTGAACTCTTGGTATGATGACAACCAGAACTGCCAGCTAATTGCGACTTGTGACAACCACCAATGTTTCTGGTTTCAAAGCTGAACTAGATATCATCAGATTTCTGCTTTCATGTTCACCTGTGCTTGAGAGGATGACCGATGAGCCTGCTTCTGATGTTGTTTCTTCAACAACAACAACGACAACAACAAAGCCTTTTCCCACTAAGTGGGATCGGCTATGTGAATCCTAGAACGCCATTGCGCTTGGTTTTGTGTCATGTCCTCCGTTAGATCCAAGTACTCTAAGTCTTTTCTTAGGGTCTCTTCCAAAGTTTTCCTAGGTCTTCCTCTACCCCTTCGGTCCTGAACCTCTGTCCCATAGTCACACCTTCAAACTGGAGCGTCAGTAGGCCTTCTTTGCACATGTCCAACCCAATCATTCATAATCTTATCCTTTCTCGTAAGCCCACACCTCTAACGAAGCATCCTCATCTCCGCTACACCCATTTTGTGTACGTGTTGGTGCTTCACCGCCCAACATTCTGTGCCATACAGCATCGCCAACCTTATTGTCGTCCTATAAAATTTTCTCTTAAGCTTTAGTGGCATACGACGGTCACACAACACACTGGATGCATTCTTCCACTTCATCCATCCTGCTTGTATTCCATATATTCTGTTTTTGATCGGCTTAGGCGAAGACCTTTAGATTCCAACACTTATCTCCAAAGGTTAAGCTTCGCATTTACACCTTCCTGAGTTTTATCTATCAACCCTATATCGTCTGCGAAAAGCATACACCAAGGAATAACATCTTGAATATGTCATGTTAACTCATCCATTACCAATGCAAAAAGGTAAGGACTTAATGATTGTGATGCAAAAAATCAATGAGGACTTTGGTACAACAGAAAGTATTAAGTTTGTGATATTCGCTAGATTGCTCCGGTCATTAGTGTGGATAAGTATGTAAAAGGATAAAGACAGGAGAGCAAACACAAGATGTACATGGTTCACCAAGATTGGCTACGTCCACGGAGTAAAGGAGTTCTTATTCATTGTGAAGGGTTTACATAAGTACATAGGTTCAAGCTCTCTTTTAGTGGGTACAAGTGAATGCTTTAGTACAAATGGTATTAGGAAATATTTTGGAAGAATGATCTCTTTTTATAGAAGAGAGTTTCTAGCCTTGTTCTGACATTGACACGTATCGTTCTGTGATTGGCTTCCGATGTTGACACGTGTCGCACTATGATTGGCTTCTGATGTCTTCACTTGCCTTATTTGTCTCATAGGTAGATGTGGCATCTTCTCTAGAAGTACTCTTCCTCCGTCCAAGGGTGGTATCTTTAATTGGTGGAGATGCACAAGGTAATGTATCAATTTCACTTGAAGCTTATTTGTAGTTTCAGGCTTGGTCAAGCATGATACAAACCATGTAGTAGGAGTCCTCCAAGTCGCCGAGTTAGGGGATTTGCTGAAAGATGTGACAGACAAGGTAAGCAATTAGAGCTCCAAGCAATCAGTCCCAGATCAAAAGTTTGATTTCGAGTTCTGGCTGATTGTTCTCATTCTCCTTATCTTGCAGGCAGCATGAAGGATAAAGAGAAGAAAAGGAGAAGAGATGATACGAGACACTTTTGCTTTTGAAGAAGTAACTTTCCACAGGCTTATTCTTGAACTGGGCTGGAGGGTTTTCTGGTTACCTCCAGAGTATAAGGCCGACTGAAGAATTTGAGGGTCAAAACAAGTCCATCAAATCTAGAGTACGTTCGACCCTGCTGATATGGGATACTTTTGCTGTTGACAAAGTAGTGGAAGTATCGGCATATGTTCTGTTACGCTTGTCTCCACATGCTTCCTTGTATCATTCTCACTTGCCCTATCTGTTCCTCAAGCAGATGTGGTATCTTCTCTGGAAGCATAAGATGTTGAAGATGAGTACTCGAGAGCAATGCCAGGTAAGTAATCAGGTAAGGGGTTCCAGGCAGTCAGTTCCTGACTGGAAGCTTGATTCCAAGTGCTGACTGATTGCTCTCTTTCTCCTTGTCTTGCAGGTAAGAACAAGGCCAAAGGAAAAGCTAGGGAAAAAACATGATATGGGATACTCTTGCTTTTAACCCTGATGATATGAGATATTCTTACTCTGGTGTAGCTTGTTTGCAGAGGTATTATTGGGGGGAAAGAAAGCTGAGTATTTCGAGAGGCTTCGTTGGGAGTGCCTTCTTAGATATGAGGAAGGGTTGAGCATTTTACAAGTCTGCCTGTCCGTTGAGGATGGAGGTCGACATATATACGAGTCTCCCTAACAACAAGTAGTAATGCTATTCCTTTACCCTTCTTTGTCATAACACTGTAGTGGGAGCTGCCAGCTTCACGTGTTTTAACTCTGTTAGAGCACTTTGAAAAAGTGGTCTGTGGTATCTGGAAAGCTGATGTTACGTGTGAAGATTACAGACAAGCTTTATCCAAGGAGATCTGGCTCTCGAAGTTGAGAAAGCGATGCCTCTTCGGTTTTCAAACAAGCGATCCTGTCGGGGATCTGGCTCTCGAGATTCGGAGAATGGTGCCTCTTCAATTTTTGAGAAAGCAATCCTGCTGGGAGTCTGGCTCTTGAAATTCGGAGAGCGGTGTCTCTTCGATTTTTGAGAAAGTAATCCTGTTGGGAGTCTGGCTCTCGAGATTCGGAGGGCGGTGCTTCTTCGATTTTGGAGCAAGCAATCTTGTTGGGAGTGTTTTCTCGAATGTGAGTAAAGGTTGGGCATTTTTGCTAGTCTACCTTTCCACGGAGCACAAACGTTGACACACAGGGACTTTCTAATTATCCAGCAGTGGTGCTGTTCCTTTACTCTTGTGGGTAATAATATGGTAGCTAAACATTCAAAATTTATGTGTCAAAACTTTGTTAATGTTGTTTCTTTGCTATTCTTTTACCCTTCTTGGTCATAGCGATGTAGTGGGAGCTGCAAGCTTCACGTGTCTACACTTTGTCAGAGATCTTTGGCAAAGTTATCTGTGGTACCCATGAGCTGATATTGCGTGTGGAAAGTGGATAATTGAATAGTAAGATTCACGTGCTTTCTACTTCACCAAAAATCTTCGACAAATTGCCCGTAATTTTCGCAAAACTGAGTGTGTATGTGACAGGTGTTGACAAGGCTGAGAAAGCAGGTGTCTCTTCGATTTCTGAGATCGGCCCTCGTGGTCTCTGAGCAGCACAGCTTTTGAGAAAGCAAACGCCTCTTCGATTTTTGAGATCGGCCCTCGTGGTCTTTGAGCAGCCCAGCTTTTGAGAAAGAAAACGCCTCTTCGATCTCTGAGATCGGCCCTCGTGGTCTCTGAGCAACCCAGCTTTTGAGAAAGTAAACGCCTCTTCGATTTCTGAAGCTCCGTCGAGTGCAGATTTTTATAGAAGCTGACATTAAGTTCCAAAGCACACTTGAATCTTCACTAGTATAAGCTCTCTTCTTGCACTTCTAAGATCTTGATTTGTCCGACCTCTTCTCTCTTCAATACCTTTGAAAATGTCTGGCCCTTCCGACCATTGTTTTGACTTGAATCTTGGTGAAGAGGTAGCCGCGCCTTCTCCAGATAACATCTGGCGCCCATCCTTCTTATCCCCTACTGGTTCCCTTACCGTTGGGGATTCCGTGATGAAGAATGATATGACCGCTGCGGTGTTGGCCAGGAATATTCTCACTCCCAAAGATAACAGACTTCTTTCCAAACGGTCTGATGAGTTGGCTGTTAAGGATTCTCTGGCTCTCAGTGTTCAGTGTGCAGGTTCTGTGTCGAATATGGCCTAACGCCTATTTGCTCGAACCCGCCAAGTTGAATCATTGGCGGCTGAAGTGATGAGTCTCAAGCAGGAGATTAGAGGGCTCAAGCATGAGAATAAACAGTTACATAGGCTCGCACATGACTATGCTACAAACATAAAAAGGAAGCTTGACCAGGTGAAGGAATCTGATGGTCAGATTTTACTTGATCATCAGAGGTTTGTGGGTTTGTTCCAAAGGCATTTATTGCCTTCGTCTTCTAGGGCTGTACCGCGTAATGAAGCTCCAAATGATCAGCCTCCGATGCCTCTTCCTTCTGGAGTTCTGTCCAGTACTGAGGCTCCGAGTGATCACCCTCCGGTTCCTTCTTTTTCTGGGGCTCTACCGATTGCTGAGACTTCTCCTAAGCAATCTTTATGAAGAACCCCTCTTGTTTGTTTATTTTGACTCATGTATATGTACATATTTGTAACTTATCGGAGATATCAATAAATAAACTTTGCTTCATTTCAATGTATTGTGTTAAAGACACCAAAGCCTTATTCACTAAGTTCTTTGAATTTTTCTTTTGTTGAAGCTTGTATGTTGAAGCTTTGTGAGTGAAGCATGTAGGTTGAGGTAATGTTCCCTTAATTTCTCGAGTGAGGAAAACTTCTTGGTTGGAGACTTGAAAAATCCAAGTCACTGAGTGGGGTTGACTACATGAATCTTAGAACGCCATTGTGCTCGGTCTTGTGTCATGTCCTCCGTTAGATCCAAGTACTCTAAGTCTTTTCTTAGAGTCTCTTCTAAAGTTTTCCTAGGTCTTCCTCTACCCCTTCGGCCCTGAATCTCTATCCCGTAGTCGCATCTTCTAACCGGAGCATCAATAGGCCTTCTTTGCACATGTCCAAACCACCGTAACCGATTTTCTTTCAGCTTTCCTACAATTTCGGCTACTCCTACTTTACCTCGGATATCCTCATTCCTAATCTTATCCTTTCTCGTGTGCCCACACATCCAACGAAGCATCCTCATCTCCGCTACACCCATTTTGTGTACATGTTGATGTTTCACCGCCCAACATTATGTGCCATACAGCATCGCCGACCTTATTGCCGTCCTATAAAATTTTCCCTTAAGTTTCAGTGTCATACGGCGGTCACACAACACGCCGGATGCACTCTTCCACTTCATCCATCCAGCTTGTATTCTATGGTTCAGATCTCCATCTAATTCTCCGTTCTTTTGCAAGATAAATCCTAGGTAGCGAAAACAGTCACTCTTTGGTATTTCCTGATCTCCGATCCTCAACACTAACTTATTTTGACCTCCATTTGCACTGAACTTGCACTCCATATATTCTGTCTTTGATCGGCTTAGGTAAAGACCTTTAGATTCCAACACTTCTCTCCAAAAGTTAAGCTTCACATTTACCCATTCCTGAGTTTCATCTATCAACACTATATCGTCTGCAAAAAGCATACACCAAGGAATATCCTCTTGAATATGTCATGTTAACTCATCCATTACCAACGCAAA